TCAGACCAGTGATCCGGTTTCCGGAATTGAGTTAACTAAATAATAGAAGATCCTTGCTAATGTAATCATCAGAATACTAGATATGATATATCACTTCTCACATATCATCAGAATGCTTGATATGATATATCATTTCTCACAAATGTATTCTTTTGACTCATGAATATGGAGCAGTTGAAAGTTATACTCAAGCAGTCAGGGGATTTGTGCTTTATCGTAGACATGACACCACCCCTTGGTCACATCTCAACCATTTCCCTAGGGTAACCTAGAATGCTTACATGGACTATCCATCATGAGTCTGCGCCCGTGGAGAAATGTTGCAATCCATATTCGTTGTACAGGAAGCTGGAATTGATATCATTACGGATATTCTGGGAGAGTACGGAACCTTTGCATCGGACTCTTTTTCACAAATAAAAATAGCATATTCACCCAGTCTCAGAGTAGTGAGCAGTACAATTCTCACTTCCATTTAATGAAAACTACTGTTATTAACGTTATTTTCCTCTTTCAGTTTATATGCATTCAGAAAGCGTTCATTAATGTAATGTATTTCACCACTTTCTGAAACACATTACTTTCTGAGACACATCACTTTCTAAGACACTAAATCACAATACGTGAAAACAAAGAGAGGGAACAAACATCACCCTTCTGGTCCTGCCGAGGGATTGGTTGGTGATGGGGACAGGGGTTTAGCAGATTGAGTGGACAGCTCATATATACAAGAAGCTGAAAAAATTTTAAAACATGAACGACATTTCGGGTACGTTGAAGGCGAGACCCAGAATCACAATCCATGATATAAAGTAACAAAAAAAAAAAAAAAAAAAAAAAAAAAAATAGCCCCGGTACAACCAATTATCGGGTAGAGACATTGACAGTCAAGAGTAAACAAAGATGATGGTGAACTGAAAGATAAGTCCCCTCCGAGACCTATCCACAGACCTCTCAAGCGTTTCATATCGGCCGTTCACCTCTCTAGAGTTCCATCTGTGCTAGTGGAAGTACTGGTAAGTGTGGGCTGCCGGCATTGTGGGATTGATCAAGTGAATGAGGTATCTCATATTCCCCTAGGGCTGTCCATGAGAACTTCATCGTCATAGAGGAAAGGTCAAATATGTAGCGGTCCGATGACGAACAAGAAGCTGTACTACCGTACTGGACTGGGCTCTGCAGAGCAATATCCCGGGCGGTGTAAGGAAAAGATGCAATGTAGCTAATTGCAAGTAGCGGTTGCCATACTAAAGTAATGCATCTTCACTTCATTTGGTGTTTTTGTTGGGGGGTTTGGGTTGGTTCGTCCCCTCTACTACCAGCATGGCGCTTGTGTGAGAGAGCTCTTTTGCCCCAGTGGCCTGACAATTGTGAGGCTGCTTTGTCATTATTGACTCAGCATTAATAATCACATCTGAAACTGTGGGATGGTTGATCTTCTCATTGTGCGATCGCTAGCTAACTATATATAGGGGTAATCACGTGCGGTGGAGGGCCGCCTGGGCAACTAGTGCCCAACACCCCCCCACGCGCCAACGTGCGTGATGTGTTCCTACGAATCTTCCATGCTAGCTATCTCAACTTGGATCATCCCAAAATCATGCTACATACAGAAATTTAATCATTCTCACTGTTACCAGCGAAAAGTCCTAGTAAATCAATGAAACGCCTAAATGCCACTGTGCCCAGAGGTTTGGTTAATCCGTCTGCTACCATATCCTCAGTGGGAACGTGTTTAATAGAAATAACGCCTTCGTTCAATTGCGTGCGAGAATAGTGGAAGCGAGTGTCGATATGCTTGCTGCGTGCCGTGATCGCGGCAACGGTAGCTAGGTCGATTGAACCTTTGTTATCTGCCCTGATAGGCAAGGGGTCCTTTGCTGTAACGAATCCTAGTTCCATCATCATATTGCGCAACCACGTTGCTTCGCGTACTGCTTCGCTAAGTGCCACGTATTCTGCCTCATTTGAACTTAAAGAAACACAAGGTTGTTTGGACGAACGCCATGAAATCGGTGCACCTGCTAACTTGAATATGAAGCCTGAAGTAGATTTGCGTTCGCCGTTCAACGGTCCTGCCCAATCCGAATCTGTATAACCTATCGGCAGATATGACGCGTTGGGGAATTCATCGATCTCGTTCTTGTGGCCTTCGTATAAGATGCCAAGGTCGCTCGTTCCTTTTAGATATTGTATGACGCGGAGGAGAGCCCTCCACGCCTTAGGTGTAGGCGCAGTATTCTTCTGCGCTAGTAGGGATGCTGCTCGCGCAATATCTGGGCGTAATTTGACTGCCAGATACTGCAAGCACCCTACTCCGTGTTGGTATCGCTTTTTGGTGAACCCTCCTTCTCGTTCTGACACAGGGGTATCGTCTATCTTCAACCCTTCAAGTATTGGCGTAGGGACAGGGACGGCGTCATCTAGGCGGAAATCTTGCACTAAACGATCGATATAGCGTCTCAATGTCAATTTTATAGCACCATCAGGGCGACGTTCAACCTCCATGCCTAAGTATTTTGAAGGTTCTTTTAAATCCTTTATTTCTAATTTATTGGCGAGGGTGTCAACTAGCCAATCGGCATCTGCCGGATCCTCTGCTATAATATGAAGGTCGTCCACGTAGATTGTCATATAAAGGTGATTGCGGGACGTGTGGCGCCATAGAGCAGGGTCGTAGGGGCTAGGTTTGAAGCCATTCTCGCGGAGTAATGCCGTAAGGAAATCGTACCAAATCTTAGCAGCAGGGTCCAATCCGTATAGGGAGCCTCCGACAGCGCAAACCATCGCGTGTGGAGTCCCCACCTCAAATCCGGTAGGTTGCCGCATATAAATCGTTTTACCAAGTCGGCCGTGTAGGTAGGCCATCACTATATCGACCTGGCGCAAGGTCCAACCTCGCTTCGCTGCTATCGCGAACATCATGCGATTAGTAGCGTCATTAACGACGGGCGCGTATGTTTCTTCGCGTGCGCTTTTCTTTAACCAATTACCGCACACTACCCCATCGAGATTTTCGTAATATACCATCAGGATCCGCGTTTGGGATCCTGGGGGGCGATCTTTTTTCGACATAAACCCAGCGGCCGGGGGCCACTGGCTCACCAGAAGGGACGTCAGAACGTGGGATCATTGTCCAAGTGTTCCTTCGTTCCAAATCTGCAATCTCGCGTTCCATCGATTTCTGCCAATATTCGCCAACCCCCCCAGGTCTACTAACGGCATCCTTATATCCTTTCGGAACGGAACCGGTGAGGGGAGAAGGAACGTAGGTGGCGAACGCTTTCGCTGGTCTTACCCATTCGGCGTCAGCTAATTCAGGAACGGTAGTATCATCAACAAGATAAGTCGCTGGACTTGCAGGTTCGGGTGTCGTGTGGTTAGTGTCATCCTGCGAGGTTGTAGGTTCCTTTGCAGGGAAAACGACATCACTGGTGACAATTATTTTATCAGTTGTAGGACTCCAGAGGCGGTAGATTGAGTTACCACGGAATCCTATAAGTTTAAAAATTTCTGCTCTAGCGGACAGCTTGTCAGTAGGTTTTTGAGATCCATGAAGGTGCGCGTAAACATCAACACCTAGCTCCCTAAAATGGCGAAGTTGGGGCGGGGCGTTGGTTAGTGCTGAGAATGGGACCGTATAGGGGCATCGCGCAGGTGCTTCGTCGGCGTTGTTGGTAGGCCAGTATTTCTCATTATACAGGGTGGTAGATGTTGGTGTGTTGTTGGTAATTGCAACCACCGTTTCGAGAACGTCTGCCCAGAACTTCTTCGGTATATTCATGCCTAAAAGCACTGCCCTTGCGCGTGTCATTATCGTACGGATTCCTCTCTCAGAAACACCATCTTGGTGGGGAGATTGGGGCGTAGTAGGTTCCCAGATAGTGCCATCTTTGGTCATCATTGTTGTCATCTTGTTAGATCGAAAGACACCATCGATATCAGTCCTAACTAGCGCCGGTGGCGTGAAGCCGAGATTTTTCATGAATTGGACCCAGTGAGCGTAAATTTCGACAGCTTGGTCCTTGGTATGTAAAAAATAGATCCACCTGTAGCGGGTGGCGTCATCGGTGATGAGCATATAATATTTGGTCCCTTGACGAGATTCGATAGGGTAATCGGACATGTCATCCAGCGTACGACCACCGCCAGCAAGGTCGATATGAACACGTTGCATTGCTCGCAACGCTCGTGGCATGGGAGTTTGCGAGAACTTGCGTGTCATGCCTGCTTTGACGCAGCTATCGCAGAAGAAGCCTGTTTTAGATCCTTTGATGCGGATGCCGGATGATGGGTCCTTCGCTAGTGCAATGATCGCGCCAGCGTGGATATGCCCTAGTGTGACGTGCCATTCCATGAGTGTTCTTGTCAGGGGGTTGCGATCGCTAGGTTGATCGTTAGGTTTCCCCGCGATTGTCGACATTGCGTCCCCGTAATTGTAAGATTTGGCCATAAAATGGACGGCCTGGGACGGGTGATGGACGTCTATTTGAGATTCTCGTTCTATTATCTTGTAGACCGATTCTTTGGACGTGCGAACAGCGGTGAAGTTGGCACCGTTCGGGGCCCTTATTGTAAAATAGGAAGGGGTGGTATCTGATAGTTGGTATCTGAAGCCTTGATCTTCTAGCTTCGCAAAGGATAGAAGGTTGACTGTTAGATTGGGGATCCAGTGGACGTAACCCACTGAGATATCCCCCCCTTCTGATTCTAGAAGGATATCACCTATCTCCTCAACCCGTCCTACGCCACCGTCCGCGGTAGTAATTTCTAAATCACCTTCGAACGACTTTGCGCGCACCAACGAGTGCCTTTCACCCGTCATATTGAAGCTTGCGCAGGTGTCGAGATACCAAGGTTTGGATGTTGTAGCGGACGACGTAGATAAAGCAATTGCTGCGTTGGCATTAGGTTGCGATGCAAGGAGATCTGGCGCTCTGGTGCCAGTAGGTTTGTCGTCATCCTTGTCCTTCTTCTTATCCTTTCCCTTCTTTTTGGCACCTTCAGTGTTGTCAGTGCCCTTATTATCCTTATTCTCTTTCCTCCACCACTCGGGTGCTTTGTCAGGGTTCAGATGATAGCAATTAGCCTTTATATGCCCTGGGACCTTGCAGTATCCGCACTTTGCGGTTGCGGCGGAAGTTGTGTTGTCATTATCATTGGTGGCCGCGTTGGCCTTTGGAGCTTTAGGGCGTCCAGTACCCTCTGATTTACTCATCCGGTGAGCAATTTGTTTTGTGAGATCGTTGATATCTAGGTTGACAATCGGACCCTGACCCGTCCCGTAGAACGTATCGAGGCGTGATTTAACATAGGTCCTCTGATAATCTCGGAGGCCGATAATAAAGAAATCATGGAGGTAGTTCTCACCACGGTCCTCCGTTAGTTGTCGCATGCGAGCAGACAGGTATTGATATCGGCGTACGTACGCCAGGTAATCACCGTCCTTGACATGCAAGTGGGTAAATTCTTTAAGGATGTTAATCCTTTCTTCCCCTAGGGATATCGCGTATACTGAGCGTACCTTGTTCCATAGGGCCGCCGCGTTGTCGGGTGAATGGAA